CTATATGTGAGAATTTTGCAAAACATTCTTCTCCAAGAACACATCGTTCAGCCTCATTTTATCTGCGTACAAAAACAGCTTTTCTATTTCTCATAACTTTATTTTTTTCCCCCCTTTTGGGTAACCATTTTTTTTGGTCGCGGAAAAGCTTTGTATAGTAGAATCATACTTACAAAATGGTGTTATGGTGTGTTTGATGTGGGTAATTTAGTTTAATAATAATGATATTATGATTGTTCAGTATTGAAATTAATTTTGTTATTTGGAGTATCAAACTATCTTCATTCTTATTTTATTATTTGGACTAATTTAGTTTATTTTGGATTTTCAGGAAAGTAAATTTAGTAGGTGATTGGATTGCTGATGTATACCCCAATTAACGCTTTTTATGTTCTTTTAGTGTGTGCTGTTGAACTTATTTATTTTTGATGCTTTTGTTTCACTGCTTTAATGTGACTTCATTCATACTTTTTTCACATTTTTTTTAATTGTGCTTTATCGTCTTCATCACTTCTCTCTCTTCCTCCTGCTTACAACAATATCTCTTCTGTGGTCTTTCATGCTCTCTTCTCGGCTCCATGTTGCTCTCTAATTTCCGGACCACATATTATTACATGAGTCTCATTAATGTTGTGTATTTAGACATTGACTAGAAACAAAGTTTCTGTCATGTTAATTGTGTTGTCAAACTTCTCATTGAGCTTTATTATATTTTATATCGTGAATTGGACAAAAATTACTGAAATGTGTACTACCCACCAATCAAGATTGTGGATGATCAATATTGACACTAAAGGATATCAATATATACATCTTTGGTTGATATCTAAGTTAGTCATGTGCTTGTTACATTCTTAACTTTTGAATCTTTTTTTGCTAGCTGATGTTAGCGTTTCAATTACGGAAAATGATTAATACGACTAATCCGTACTACTCTTTCTGATTTTAGATATAAGACTTATTTTATAATATAAATTTATATTAAAAAATGGGTCTTATATTTAAAACCAGAAGAGTAACTGTTAAACTCATGGATCTGCGTATGTAGATTGTTAGCCGATGGACTGGACAAAGAATGGAGAAAATTTTTCCAAGTGTTCTTTGCAACACAATTAGCAAAGAATTACGAGGAAGCTTCTGGGTTTACTCCAATGCTATTCCCCCAACTTTCAGAATATACTAGCCGCGTTTTGGAAAGTTCCTAAGGTATCTTGCAAATATCTATGGAAATTAAAAGTTTTCCCTGAAATGCCTTGAGTATATTGAAATTATTTTTTAAAAAATTAATTTTTATTACTTTAAAAATTTGTTATTTAATTATTTAATTTTTAAGTGACGAAGAAGTAATGATTTTTTACTTAATTAGATATTGAAAATTCACCGTCTTCTCAAATTGGTTCTCATTTTATTTTATTATCTAAGTTTAGAATTTGGCAAATAACTAGAGTGTAAGTGAAATATAAGGTGAGATCTTGTATCTAAAAAACAAATATAACTGAGATCATGAGGTAATGTAATGATCAATTCCAAAATATCTCAACACAATATAACCATCAGTATATATTTAATACTCCTCCGGTCCTTAATATAAGACCCATTTAACTAATTTGATTAGATTAAGGAAGTTAGGTAAGTTAGTTAATTATAAGAAAAGTGACACATTTTTCCTAAAATACCATAATCAACTTTTTTAATACCCCATTTCTCTCTTCTATTTGATTATGGTTGAGGGAATATTTATAAGGGTAATTTAGAGAAAATTGATAAATATGAGAAATGGGTCTTATATTTAGGACCAAAACCAACTCAAAAATTAGGTCATATATTAAGGACCGGAGGAGTATTAACAAAGGAAAGATATAGAGGAGAGGGAAAGAGACGGAAGTTACAGAGAGAGGATTCCCTTCTCACTAACCCTCCTCCGCATATATAGCGCTGCTTTCATATTGTTGAGATTCCATTCGTGTTACTGCTAACAGCATCATGCAAAGGCACCACATTTGTTGGGTGATCGTAAGCCACGTGTCCTTTTTGGGTCCCACTAATATTCAGCAGAATCATAACAGATAATTACATCATTTTAATTTTCACATTCTTGAACGTTATATAAAGTTTAATTAGTATCTATGATCGATGTCGGGAAAGCAATGTAAAATTTGTATGGGTCCATATATATATATATATATTGTGCCGTTGTGATTCTCTTTATTTTTTGATAATAGCAATTTCTTAACTTCAAAATACGGGGAATTGTCAGGGTCACATACTCACACCTCTGAAACATAATATACACCGCCAACAACAAAACGCTCCTATCCCATTGGATGGAGTTTGAAACACAAATTTTATTTTTCTTTATTTTCATTATTTTACCCAATTAAACTAAATAAATTAAAAATATTTAATTTATTTTTATAACATATCAAACGCAATTATTTTTTGATAAAAAATATTTTTTTTTTCATTCTTATAATTATTCAGATTCTCATTCTCACTTCACTCATTTTTATAAACCCAAATAAACATAAATCAATTGTTCACATTGTGTGAAGAGTAGTCTCAGCTTTGTTTGGGGTCGAAAACAACCATTGTTCTCCTAATCTACGAACAAACACCACACATGCAGAGATAATGGCTCAGATTGTCCTCTCACTTTTGATAACCACATGCCAGCATGATTACTTGAAAATGAAATTAGAAGTTTATGGTACAAACAAATATACTAATTTGGCTTCAAATATCTGAGAAGACTACAGAATGGCGATCACCAAATGATAAATAGGATAACAAAAATTAATACAGCTTTCACTTTGGAACATCTGACTCGTGCAGCACAGAACACAAAACACTACAGTTGAAAGAGGCTCACAAAAAATGTAATCATCACATCATGCAAACAATCACACTTCTCAGTCAAGAGATGGACTATGGGGCAAGCATCAATAAGAAATCACCTATCAAAGAAATGTAATGAGTCGCCATATTTTACCCAAAAAAAAAAATACAATTGGAGGTTCACAAAGACAATTTGAAACGAAAGGCTTCTGCCAGTTTAGTATATCCCTCGGACATGCCTAACTACAATCAACCAAGAGGAAAAAATCATAGAATAAGCAAATGGTAGTCTAGCAGGGAGTTGCCTGTCCCTAGCACTCCATGTATTTTTCCCAACTTCAGGCCTCCTCAATTCAAATAGATTAGGCTTCACATGAATGGAGTATGCAAATAGCACACCTGAATTAGCAATGCTGCTGCAAATTATCTTCCGTGATGACTCGCTCTTAACTTGAACAAGCATATCAGTTTCTGCAAAGCCTCCGGCTGTGACATGTGTAGCATCAGGGAAGAAACCTTCTTTTGGTTGTACAGAAAGAACATCTAAACAATATGAGAAGACTGCACTATAAGCATTGCTGATTCATTGGACAATGAGCCCTTCTACTCTGCTTATCCGGCAAGCGATCTGTCAAAAATAAGCACAGAAAAAATGAACAGAATCGGTGAATGAAATTGAAACCAACAAAATATAAGATTTTATTCACATGCTTAGCAAGGGATATACAAATTGTCTCTAAAGAAATGATGTAGAAATAAAATCCAAGGACACACCTCGACAGATTGGTAATGCCCCAGTGGAGGCACTGGCTGCATGCATGTGAGGACTCAGCATAAACATAGATCCATTTCTTGAGCAATTTTTTCACATATGGTTTATTCACAGAATATAGAAAGAGACTTCTGCAACATATAATACAGAAAGCAGGCATCAGTTTGAAAATTTTGTAACACAAAGAAAGATGTTAAAATCTAAATGCGTATGGTTTACATATCTAGCGATGACCAAAACGAGCAGGGGAATCATGGACAAGGAAAATGCCCTTCATATTTAACATGGCTCAAAAGAATGGGAGTTGGCAGTGATCAAACTAGTGACTAATTAGTAATTGGTCATAAAGACTTTAATACCATGTCATGGACAGGGAATATGCCCTTCATTAGCAATTTTGTTCAGTTAATTTCCTGCCTTTCAGTAGAAATCCACACCAACTACTGCGATCTGACCTAAAACAGAAACAACCAGCAAGAAAGGTTTTCACATAAAAGATAGCCAGAGAGTACTCCAGTTTCAAAACTAACAAAGTAATAATAGTTGACATACAAATTGAAGAATCAAATATTAGACACTCCCAATTCCGAGACCTCAAAGCCCAGCTGTAATTCTGTGGATTTCATAACCCAATGTAGCATGGCCAGCATCGTATCAAGCTGTGAGGAAACAAAGATGGCTGAGAATTGTGAACATATTTCACCTAGTAGTGCTAAAAATCAAAGTTTTGATGCTTCGACAAAACACAGAAGTATTGGATCATTAAGCTGCTTTTTCTACTTCATTGTTTGCAGTAAGCTGGCCACACATTCATATCATGGCAGACATTTATACCGGCAAAAAATGACCCAAAACTTTCACATATTCATATCATTAGCATTTGTACTCCAAGTGATACTTAAAACTCGTCCTGAAATTATATGGAACTCATTTAATAGAAACCTGGCAGAGTACATAAAGAATCTATAGCAAGCCTCATGATTCGGGAGAAGAAATCTCACCATTGACCCCAGATTTGACGGTATGGACGTAGGTACAGACTTTGATTTTTTAATGATAAATTTCTCTTGGCATAACAAAAGGCCATTTATCCTAAGTGTACCTAACAATGATAAAATCCGGCTCCTTTTACCATAAAAGAATGAATTAAAAAAAAAAAAAAGAAGACATTCTTGTCACTATTTCTCTTATATTTAAAGGTTAATAAATTTTATTCCCCATGATTGTAATTAGTTGGTACAAACCAAAAAGAGGTACTATGAACAAAAATCATATCTACCACTGCTCAAACAAGAGTACGATACCTTTTTGAAGTGAGTGGGATCCACATGTGTACGCATCATTCACCTTGGGAGCTTTAAAACTCAAAATCATTTTTCCAAATTCATCCAAGCTAGCTCCGATATTTGCGCTTTCGAGAGGCTGCTTCCATTGCATTAGAGCCCGGCTGATGAGGCAATGGCAATTGAATTTGTTTAATGTCACCATCTTGATATTCAACTGCAGATGTTGGGCATACTCCACACCTTTTGATCTCTGTTATTCTGTCATGATCCGAACGAACTTCGAATTTAACTTTAAGCTCCATGTTGCTCTGACCATTTCTTTTCCTTTCTTCAATTTTCCTTTTTAGTTCTCCAAGTGAATCAGGAACACACCAAAGAACAACATGCCAAAGATCAACATCCTTTGAGAACCACGGCGGACCCAGGTAAAGCGACCTTTTAGCGGCCCTGCAAGCATATTTACCATCAATAAACCATTTGGCATCAATGTTTTCTCCCACGGCTGATGGTAATTTAGAAAAGACGGCGCAGAAAATGAATCCCCCATCCTCAGAATTTGGAATCGAACTGAGATTCACAGACACCGAAGACCCTTTATCCCTATACATGAGCCACCTTGGAACTCTTTTTCCTGGATATTCCAATCGAGCATAGTCATAAGTGGCTTTCTTTATCCCAAGTAGCACTCTTGCCTCAGCATCTTTGATTGACCGTCGATTCAGCTTCTTGCAATTTGTGAATAAAAAGAGCGGACATGCCTTATCTTTTCCTTCTTCACCTTCCTTTGTCAAAGGTGAATATTGTATGGTCTCAAGGGATATGCAGTTAGGGGCAATCAATTGCAAGATAGAGGGAGGGAGCTCTGGTAGACAACGAAGCCTTTTACATCCATCCAGTCTAAGACATTGCAGGCGTGAAAAATGTTTGATGCTCGAAGGCAAGGTCTGCACACGAGACAGTGAGAGATCTAAGAAACGTAATGATGACAGCAACCTGATGTCATTAGGAAGTTCAGATAGTTCATTGCAATACGCAAGCCATGGACTTTCCAAAGCACCCATCTTATCACACTTGAACAGGAGACGTGATGCGAGCTCATTACACCCTCCAGCATCAAGATTTCGAAGGTCTCGCAGCTTAATCAACTTGTGAACGCTTGTCACATTTCCGCAGCCGAATAGAAATAATGAGCGAATTTTGCTGCGATGCCCACTCGATGAGCGCAACGCACCACTGATGGCAGTTCCTGAAAGATGTAAACAGAGATCTTCATTTTCTGAGGTCACTGAAAATTCCTCCAGACTTGAGCAATAACTTGCATCGAGCAGAATGAGAGATTGGAGATGGGTATCGCTTTTAAGGCTGGTAAGGGACGTGCACCCGTGTAGCAATAAAGCGCGCAAGCTGTGGAGAGATAAAATAGATGGATGTACACTCCGTAATTTTGAGCACCGCTCGAGATCAACCTTTTCAAGACGTGTGGCCTTGGAAAAATCTGAGAGTTCAATCAAGTCTTTTGATTGACGGAGCATAATTTTACTTAAGTTCACAAGATTCTGTGAAAACATAAATTACATGATAAGATTGGTGGCTAAAACCAAATTAAATTACTCAGCTATTTCTTTTTATAAGGTTCCGCTCCCTGTTTTCCTCAGAAAATTAGTTGAAATTAGATATTGTCAACAAATTTTACAACTTTTCATGATCTTAATCGATATTCCCTCCGATGGAAGATATCAAATAACTAAATCATATAACTTGAATAAAATTAGTTAAAGATAATAAATAATAAAAGAAAATGTAACTTATTTTCTTAAAGCACATTTGTTTATGAAGAGGATAAGTGAGAGAAAAAATATGTAGAAAAAGAAATATGAGAGAATAAGTGGGAAAAAAAAAGAATTAGAAAGATATATAATTAATTAAAAGTAAAAATAAAAATGATGTATTTAATGATTAGGTAAATCCAAATTATAACTTATATATATATATATATATATATATAAGGGCTTGAAGGATTTGATGCTTATAGTTTAACAGAAATGGTAATCTTTATAAATAAAGGTCATGGAGCTTAGCGTGAGGGTGAAAGACGAAGGCATTTATTTAGAATGGGTTACCAATATTTCATTGAATTTTGTAAGATATTTTATCTGGACCTTATAAAAAGCGCTGAGCGGAGCGTATTTAATAGAGATTTTCCAACTGATGTATTAACAATATTTTGTAAGAAAAAATATAAAATTCACCTGCACTCCATCCCAAAGTCTTGTCAATCTGCTGAAGGGCATTTCCAGTCGAACAAGACTTTCAGCCTTCAATGTCGCTGGTAATGACTCTAAAGGGCATCGCACCCAATCCAATAGCACGAGATTTCTTGACAGAAACTTCATGCCAGAAGCATTTAACTTGTTCCCAGGCTGTCCATTCAAATCTCCATAAACCTTAAGAAGCTTTAGATTGGGCATTGAATCAAATGCTTTAATAATTACCCACATCTCTTCAACTTCTGAAAGGTTAATAATCATGCCTTCAATACCTCCCTAACAAAGAAAAAAAATAATAATAGTAATAAAAATATTATATAAGTCAAAGGGGAATTTGGAATTCAACAATCTTTTGAATAAATAAATGTAGAAATTTCACACTTACCATTTTTTTCTTCAATATTTCAGAACTTTCCTTGAAAATCCAAAATATGTTGCACCACGTAAAATATTTTAATGATTCTTCACGAATAATTTGTTTACCCATTTGTTTTATCAGACTGTGCATACTTATTTTTCCTCTATCAATATTTAAAAGAGCTTTATCTTCAAGACTCCTCAATCCAATCTCGGTTGAATAATCGCATGCATCTAACAATTTTTTTACATCCTCAACATCATAATAATCATTGAAAAAACATGCGATATGCAAGAAAATTTTTTTTTCTTCCTCATCAAGTCCTTCAAAGCTCAATCTGAGGATATCATTGACTTTTGGACAAGGTAATTTTTGAAGCTTTTCCAATTGGCTTTTCCATGCTTCCTGATTTTTGCCATTCAAGAAGGAGCCTAGAACCTTTAGGGCCAATGGATTTCCACCTGCATATTCAGTCACTTCTTGTGCTAGCTTTCTTATCTTCAGGTCAGCATAGTCATTTCTAAAGGTATTGATGTAGAATAGATCAAAAGCTTCATCTTGATTCAAACAATCAAGAGCGTACATATCGACCACTTTTATACAAGCAAGCACTTGCCTATCTCTGGTTGTTATCAAGATTTTACTACCTAATCCAAATTCACATCTTCCAACTAAATTTTCTAATTGTTGAACATCATCAACATCATCAAGCACAATTAAAACTTTTTTCTGACGGAGCCTACTTATTATGGTATGAGGATATATTGCATTGCCAATGTGAGATTCTTTATCCCCTAATAACCTCCAAAGGAGTTCTCTTCTTAAAGCATCCATTCCATATTTCTTTGATTCTTCCCTTACGTTCAGAAAGCAAAACCCTTCATATGTAAAAAGCAATTTGTTAAATAATGCTTCTGCAAGAGTTGTCTTGCCTAAACCGCCCATCCCCCAAATTCCAATGAATTGACAGCCACCATTGTTTGAACCTTTGTCCAACAATGATTCTACATCTGCCATTCTTTTGTGAATTCCAATCAAGCCTTTTAGATAATATTCACTTTGATACCTAGGGCCCAACTTTTGCATGACTTGATTCACTATTTCTTTAATTAGCTCCGCTTCATCCCTACACAGCATTGAAAAAATAAAGAGGCACCAAATTTAATTAATACCACGTTATCTATTCACTTCAAATTTTGAACTATTTCTATTGACATGTAACTATGAAGATTTGCCAATTTTTAAAATTTCTTATAATAAAGATGACATAACTAGATGTATATGAAATTCTAGCTTCCTCTTATGGCTAGGAATGCATCGCCATTACCATAGTGAGACAGGGATTTAGATTAAAATATCACAATAGTAAATTGATTGACCCGGAGGACTGGTTAAGCATAGTGTACAAAAAAAGCTATTCTCTTTATGATCATCAGCGCAACTTCCATTAAATGCCTCAAAGATTGATTTAATTTAGCCCCAGGCAAGGAAGAAAATGGTAAGGGGAAGATCATAAATATGTAGTTACCTATTGAAGCTACAATGCCAACCGGACAAATTGGCGGCTTGAGTAAGAGCCTCCCTCCACTTTTGTAGTTGTTGATTGCTGATGTTTCTTTTGCGCTCATGTTCCTCAAATGCTCTCTCGTAACTCCAGGACTGCTTCCTCACATGTGAAGGATCCACTCTATAGAACACCGGCATAACAAAGCAACCTTGATTTTTGGAGCACTCTAATATTTTTGCAAGCTCCTTCAGGCACCACGTGGAAGATGCATAGTTTTCTGAGAAGATCACAAGGAATAGAGTTGAATCTTCAATGGCTTTCTCAAGAGACGGCCATACCTCATCTCCTTTCTCAAGTCTGTAGTCGATGTATGTATCTATTTGGTTTCTGCGAAGAGCTTCATGAAGGTGGCTTGTGAAGTTGAAGCGGGTGTCCTCACCTCTAAAGCTAATAAAAACATCATATTTCTTTGGAGATTGAGAAGATGGAGCAGAGGAAGAAGATGAAGCCATGTAAAATTGCTTGGCTATGATCTGAAAAAGAGAATTGGGACTGCTTTCAATTCTGATCTAACAACGATTGGGAATACGAAACAAACCGGCCTGAGAGGAATATATATAAGATTTTAGGGGAATAGATTGAGTCAACCAAGTCAATGAAAGATGGAACAAAATGAATAATAAATAATCATAATAAATTATAGATAAAAGCAAAGCTAACTTTTAGAGATTTATCATAGTATAGCTTCCATACGTGTGACTTCTGAGAAGTTTTCCATGGCCTGATTCTCAAATTTGAAATTTCAAAGAAACGCGGTCCTCCTACCCAATGAGTAGTGTGTGGAAAAGACAGCACTAAATGAAAAACATAGTACATAGAGTAAGGAAATTCCACTGACCCTTTCTCCAAAATGTCGATCAAATATCTTTGAGACCTTCACCCAAAGCTTTAATCAAATTTTCAAAGGGCTGCTCAAAAATAAAAAGAAAATCAAATTTCCCCAGAAATCATAAACGCCTAGGGTCAAATGTCCTGATGAAATTTGGTTTAATAAAGCACTATAATTACTCCTCTCTTACTTCCGTTGCAGGTTTAGCACTCTTCGCCTCTAGAAATACAAGATTGAACAAATACCTATTTTCTTGAAAAAATAATAACATATATTATTGATAAAGCCCAATTTTTATAAATTTTATCCCACATTAATTTAGGATTTAAATGATAATTTTGAGTTTAAACGAACTTTTTATGCATAATTGGATTAATTGGTTGATTTTTGGATTTTGCATAAAAATTGAGATTTTGGATTGAAAATATGAATATTTTGTGCTTTCCTATTTTTGACTTGGAATTAATTTTTCCTATTTTTTTGGAAACAAGTCTCATATTTTTAGAAAAACTATTTTTAGAAAGTTTTGCACTTTCTTGCCTAATTTTTGTGCAGATTTAATATTTAATTTTTTATTATATTTGGATATAATCTACATTAATAGATGCACTTAAATTCTTATAGGTCAAGAAAAGAGCATATAGAAAATCCAATGGTACAAGATTGTTTCTTGGGATTTAAGCACAATCCAATGGCTAATATCTAGTGGGTCAATTAATTACTAATGAGCTTAAGTTTTTGATCTGCAAAAATTTCCTTTTCTCTCATTAAACTATTTTCCTTATTTTGAGAGGAGGATTCACGCCGAAGAGGACACCACTTCCATCTCCATTCATTCAAGCACAATTGAACGCCTAAGGATATTTTTTCTATCCTCCTCCATTCAGCCACGCGGACACGATTCAACGTGAATTCCGACATGCCATATACCATATATTACATTCATTCCATAGTCACCAAAAGAGGGGGGCATCACGTTCTGTGACTCACCCAACTTTCATCATCATCATTCACGTCTCTTCCTTGATCCAATTCCCATCTCCACATCATCATCAACTTTCATCAATTTATGGCCAAAATATCACTGTCTTTCCATCTCCATTCACACCATCATCAACCCAACGTCAAATCTTCCCCTTTCACCACTACTCCTCTAGCCTCACGCCGTTTCCCATTTTTTTCTTTCATTCCATATCCACCCAACAATCGTCATCACCTCTCATCATCATCCATTTATTTTTTCTCACTACACGCACAACTCCTCACCATTACCTTCAATCAATTCATGGCTATGGCATCTAACAACCTTGGAAGAGGAGACAATTTGATGGAAGCTTAAGCTTCTTTGGGAAGCAACTTGGGAGGAGCATGGAGGAAACTTGAGCCTTGGGCTAGCACTTGAAGACCATAAGAGAGTGATGTTCCATTTATCTTTTTAATTCAAGGACTTGAAATTATTTAGTTTTAAATAATTTTAAGTTGTAATTTTGTGAGACAATTTAGTTTTAGATTGTCATCTTTATGCTTCGATCGGATTGATATTTGGATTTTATTTGTGTTGAGACACTTGTTGGAATTTATGTTTAGAACCCTTGCATTGTTAATTGAATTTATAATTGAGTTTTCATTATGAGTTTAATTATCAATGTGGTTTGAATTGCAAAATTTGGGTTCTTTTGCCTCTTAATTGTTTAATTAAGTTGGTTAATTGTCTAATTGTTTAATTAGATAATTTCAAACATAATTTTCCAAATTAATTTGAATTATTTTATTGGTTTTAATAAGCTTAATTAACTAACCTTACATTGTTATGAGTCTGTAATAGTTTAAGGGTTTTTGAAGTTGAGGGTTCCCTTTGTTTCAAGTAGGTAATTAAGTTTATTAATTCCACTCTCTTATCACTTCCCTTTGGTCTAATTAACTGATTAAGGTTATGAAGGTTAAATCCATACAAATCCTAAGTTGTCCCCTCTACCCTACCGAAGAGAACTTCTCAATTTTCACTTCTTAATTTTCTTTGCTCTTTAGTCAATTTTCTTCATTTATCATTTTAATTTCTTTCTTCAACCAAACAAACCCCCCCAAAATTGCATTGCAGTTATTTAGTTTAATTTAATTTTCATATAGATTTTAGGATATTTGCATTTTCCATTTAGAATTAGAATTTTGCATTTTAGTTTAGGTCCAATTTATTGCATTTTTTTTATCACCTGAATTTTTATCTAAAGAAACCCATAAATTGCTCCTTGGAAGTAATGACCTAGGTCGATCCTGAACTACAAATTAATTGGGACCTAGTTTAATTGAGTGCTTTAACGATAGAGGCATCATCAATTTTGGCGCCGTTGCCGGGGAGCAATGGTTAAACTTTAGGTTTGAGTTCTAGGTGATTTCTCTTGTTTTTCCTGCATTTTTTTTCTTTGCATTTTATTTTCCCCTTTACTTGTTTTATTTTCGGTTGATTTTGCTAATTCATCCTGCTCTGAAAATTAACTTTTCACTACCCAGATTTTTGTAAGATTCGGCTTCTTAACGTTTTTGGGTGTGCTGATCAATTTTGATACCTTTAGGTATCAGGGCTGGGTTGTTTTAGCCAAATTCAACCATTTTCATTGAGTTTTTTTTTCGAATTTACTTTTTTTTTTCCCAATTTTCCAGGTTTTTCTTCTTTAATTTTTCTGAATTTTTTCAGCCTTCTTTGGCTAGTTTAGTTCTTCTTTTCCTTTTATTTGTGCTGATGTTCTTGATCTTAAATTTATGATGGCTTGGAATGCTTCTCCTTATGAAAATCATTCTTATATTTCTATGCCTTATCATTATGTCCATGATGTGACACAAGGATATGATCCATGTTCAAGAATAGAGAGTAGGTTGGAGACTATGACTAATGTTCCAATGTGGCAAGATTACTCAAATCCTGGATATGTCCATCAAGTTATGCCTATTCAAGAAGACTTAAAGTTAGAGAACAAGCTGGAGACTATGATACAAATCCTACTAAACAAGTTTGAAGAAAGGGAATTACAACACAATCAACCGATTCAGACTCTAAAACTCAAATTCAGCAGTTGTCTAATGCAATTAGAGACTTGGAAAGTGGAGAATTGGAAACAAATGGTGAATTATCATATGATAGCACATTTTCACCCTCCAATGATCCATATCCTTTTGCTCCTACCATCTCACATGATGACATGAATAGTACAGTAACCGAATATGCATGCACTGATGATGTTTCTAGATTGACTGGTTCTATTGAGTCAAATAATGTTGCATCTTGCAATTCATGCATTGATACTTATTGCTATACCTCTGATTCAAATTCTGTTGATTTTGTTGGGTCGATAGAGAATTTTAAGCAAGATGATTCTGATAATGAAATTGATGAAGAGATTATTATTGACCTCCCATACAATGTTGAGTCCAAAGATAATGTATCATCTCTGAGCATTGATGCTCCTTTGTGTATTGATGCTTTGCATGGTAAAAGTAGTATTTCTTTTGATTCTGCTGACATCACTTGTGATATTAACATGACTGTTGTTAATGAAGATGTTGTTGAGAATAAGTGTGGGGGAAATCTTGAGTTGGATGTGCACTTAAACAGTAAGGACATGTTGCCTAGTCAGACTTCACATGTAGAATTTGCTTTGTGTAATGATAATGATAAGCATAGGGAGACCATTTTGAGTAATCACCTGTCACTTCATTCTCTAACAAACTTGACTCTTACTGAGGAGAGTCATATTGATTTTGTGGGTTGTTCAAAATATTTGGGAGTTCCAAGTCTTTGTTTTCATCAATTTATTTTGGGATCTTCCTTAATTGCTAAAAAGTTTGTTGAGTTTATTGATTACATTTTTGTGAGACAAGATATTGCTTGGAGTTATCGTTTTATGCAGGTATATAGATTGATTCCTCCTATCCAAACACCTTGCGTACTTGAGTTAAAGCGTTTTTTGAGGATCTTAAAGAAGGAGCTGATGTCTTTTGAACATCAAAAGCAAATACTAATGGTGCTTTCATGTGACTTGCCACCAGACAAAGGAGATGTGCCAACTCTACTACTTTATTTGGGTCTTCAAACTTCCACTCATCTGGTCGTATTCCTTCCTTCCTCTTTTACTTGCATTACTTGTTGGTATTGGTTAGATGTGCATTTCACATTGAGGACAATGCATGGTTTAAGTGTGGGGGAGGGATATTGTTCCTACTTTTGGTTTTCGTTTTTTGTTTTTAAAACGAGGAAAAGAAAAATATTTTGGTTTTTACTTTGGTTTTTGTTTCTTATTTTCAAGAAAAGAAAGAAATTTTTTGTTCAAAATTTTTTTTTTTGGTTTTATTCTGAATGTGAAGATTGCAAGTTTGAAGTGATTCAAGTATGATGCATTCTTGATTTGAAAAGTGATTGATCATGTCTTGAGTGGATAAACTAAGTGGCAAAGGATTTGACTTTGGTAAATTTAAGCTAGTAACCATATGCCTAGTGAGGTTTTGAGCCTAATGCATTTCTTCTTGTCATGTGTGTACATCCCTATCTCTTTCCTTGATCTAGAACTTGACTTGAATCTAGTTTGAGACCACGGTTGTGCATTTGCATTCATAAAGATGATAAAAGCATTC